TGAGGCTACGAAGCGCTGCACTGGGTGGGGGGGATCGCATGCGGGCGGTAGCACTTGGGCCGTCGGTGGAGCTCCCTGTGGGGCCACGAAGCGCTGTACTAGGTGGATGAAAATGCCAAAGTGCGTTTCTGGGACGCATGCGGGCGGTCCCACTGGGGGCTTCGGCGGAGCTCCCTATGGGGCCACGAAACGCTGTACTGGGTGGGCGAAAATGCCAAATTCGGCTTCCGGGACGCATGCGGGCGGTCCTGGGGGCTTCGGTGGAGCTCCCTATGGGGCCACGAAGCGTTGCACTGGGCGCGTGAAAAATGCCAAATTCGGTGTGTGGGACGCATGCGGGCGGTCCCACTGGAGGCTTCGGTGCTCCCTATGGGGCCACGAAATGTGTGAGGGGTGTGCTGAAACGGGTGATGCTGATGATGGTGATGGAGGAGGGAGGAGGGGGAGTAGGAGGAGGAGGCGGAGGAGGAGGAGGAGGAGGAGGAGGAGAACGCGGGGACCATTATTTCAAAACGAAGACCCAACACCACAGGATGGTTGGGAAATTAGCCTGGCGAAGGACCCAACCATATGCGGCTGTTCGCACGGCAATTGTGAATATCTTCTTCGGTGGCGCTCTAAAATGCGGCCACGAAGCCTGTGAGAGGTGTGCCGAAATAGGTGTGTGGGGGACGCATGTGGACGGTGGCACTGGGGCCTTCGGTGGAGCTCCCTATGGTACCGCGAAGCGTGTGAGAGGTGTGCCGAAATGGGTTTGGGGGATGCGTGTGGACGGTGGAGATTGGGCCTTCGGTGGAGCTCCCGATGGGGTCACGAAACATGTGAGCGGCGTGGAACGCAAGTGGACGGTGGCACTGGGGCCTTCGGTGGAGATCCCAATGTGGCCACAACTGTGTGAGGGGTGTGCCGAAATGGGTGCGGGGGACGCATGTGGACGGTGGCACTGTGGCCGTCGGTGGAGCTCCCTATGAAGCCACGAAGCGTGTGAGAGGTGAACCGAAAATGGTGCGGGGGACACATGTGGACCGTTGCGCTGGGGCCGTCGGTGGAGCTCCCAATGGGGCCACGAAACGTGTGAGGGGTGTGCCGAAATGTGTGTGTGTGTGTGTGTGTGTGTGTGTGTGTGTGTGTGTGTGTGTGTGTGTGTGTGTGTGTGTGGGTGTGTGTGTGTGTGGTGTGTGTGTGTGTGTGTGTGTGTGTGTGTGTGTGTGTGTGTGTGTGTGTGTGGTGTCGTGTGTGTGTGTGTGGTGTGTGGTGGTGTGGGTGTGTGGTGTGTGTGTGTGTGTGTGTGGTGTGTGTGTGGGTGTGGGTGTGTGTGTGTGTGGTGTGTGTGTGTGTGTGTGTGTGTGTGTGTGTGTGTGTTGTGTGGTGTGAATGTGTTGGTGTGTGGTGTGGTGGTGTGTGGGTGGTGTGTGTGCGTGCGTTGCGTGCGTTGCGTGCGTGCGTATGCGGCGTGCGTGCGTGCGTGGTGCGTGCGTGACGTGCGTGCGTGCGTGCGTGCGTGCTTGTGCGTGCGTTGCGTGCGTGCGCGGCGTCGTGCGCTCGCGTGCGCGTGCGCGTCGCGCGTGCGCGTGCGCCGTGTGCGTGTGCGTGCGCGTGCGCGTGCGCGTGGCGGGTGCGGGTTGCGGGTGCGGCGATGCGTGTGCGGTGTGCGGGTTGCGGCGTGCGGTGTGCGGGTGCGGGTGCGGGTGGGGTGCGGCGTGCGGGTGCGGGTGCGGGTGCTGGGTGCGGGTCGGGGGCGGGTTGTGGAGTGCGGGTGAGGGGTGCGGTGCGGGTGCGGATGCCGGGTGCGGGTGCGGGTGGCGGGTGAGGAGTGCTGGTGTGCGGGTGTGGCGGGTGTCGGGGTGTAGGGTTGCGGGTGCGGGTGCGAGGTGTGGGTGTGGGTGTGGGTGTGGGTGTGGGTTGGGTGTGGGTGTGGGTTGTGGGTGTGGGTTGTGGGTGTGGGGTGTGGGTGTGGGTGTGGGTGTGGGTTTGAGGTGTGGTGTGTGTGTGTGGGGTGTGGTGGGTGGGGGCGCATGTGGATGGTGGCACCTGGGCCTTCGGTGGAGCTCCCTATGGAACCACGAAACGTGTGAGGGGTGTACCGTAATGGGTGCGGGGGGCGCATGTGGACGGTGGCACTGGGGCCTTCGGCGGAGCTCCCAGTGGGAAACGTGTGAGGGGTGTGCCGACATGTGTGTATGGGGGGCGCATGTGGACGGTGGCACTGGGGCCTTCCGTGGAGCTCCCTACGGGGCCACGAAACGTGTGAGGGGTGTGCCGAAATGGGTGCGGGGGACGCATGTGGACGGTGGCACTGTGGCCGTCGGTCGACCTCCCTATGAGGCCACGAAGCGTGTGAGGGGTGTGCCGAAATGGGTGTGAGGGACGCATGTGGACGGTAGCACTGTGGCCGTCGGTGGAGCTCCCGATGGGGCCACGGAGCGCTGCACTGGGTGGGTGAAACGCAGGGAGGAGGGGGGAGGAGGAGGAGGAGGAGGAGGAGGAGGAGGAGGAGGAGGAGGAGGAGGAGGAGGAGGAGGGGGAGGAGGAGGAGGAGGAGGAGAGGAGGAGGAGGAGGAAGAGGAGGAGAACACGGGGACCGTTTTTTTGTAAAAAACGAAGACCCAACACCACAGGATGGTTGGGAAAAAGATAAGGAGCAGGAAGAGGAATGTACATATGAACACAGACGGGGAGCAGAAAAGGAGGACAATGAGGAGCAGCGCATTCCCGTTACAAGAGACGGCGAGCTGTCACACACTCAGTTACGTCGCATTCAGCCGTGCAGCTACCTTCCCTCGCCCATCTCCTTGACCAACTACTACAAGCCCAGACGTCCGTCGATATGATTTGTTCAATCCGTGGCTCCAGAAGTCCCACCCGCTTCCACGGGAGTACAGTTCTCGTCAAGGATCCACTGTTGATGGCCCCAGGGCGCGAAAACGGGCGAGGCCAAAATCGAAGAAAAACGCTGGGACAGAAAACACATGTCGTCGGAGATCCGGGAACGCCACCCTGTTCCCAACCAACCCTTCGACCTCCAAGCCGGCAGAAGAAGCGCCACACTCAGCAACCTTCGGAGGTCCGCGCGTACGTCTTCCATCGGCGCTGGACCCCCCGGGCGGCGCCGCTGGCGAGAGGGGCCTCCAGCGCCGATCCGAGACCTCCGCGCGGACCTCCGAAAGTCTGTGCACATATGAGCGACGACAAAAGGATGCGTCTTGCGCGAGATGGCATGGCGGCCTTTACGCGGTGGCTCACGCGGGCCGCTGGCGCCGCAGGCTGCCTTGGCAGAGAGGGCACGCGCGCCTGATCTTACGCGGGCAGCTTAAGGCACGAACGTGGGCGCAGGCGACCGCGCTTCTTGCGTCGCTCGTATGCCGCTTCTCTCCTGTTGAGCAGGGACCGACCGTCCCAGCATTCCTATAGGCCTACCACGACATGTTCCCAGAGCCCGAATAACAAGAATCATCCTGGCGAAGGTCCCAACCATAACTATGCAGTTGTGGGTACCGTAATTGTGAATGTCTGCCTCGGTGAAGCTCCCTATGGGGCCACGAAGCGCTGCACTGGGCGGGGGGCAACGCTGTACTGTGTGGGTGGTGTGCCGAATTGGGTTTCCTGGACGCATGCGGACGGTCCCACTGAGGGCTTCGGTAGAGCTCCCTATGGGGCCACGAACCGCTCTACTGAGTGAGCGAAAATGCCAAATTGGGTTTCCGGGATGCATGCGGACGGTCCCACTGGGGGCTTCGGTGGAGCCTGAAAATGCCAAATTACATTTCCCAGACGCATACGGACGGTGGCACGGGGGCCTTGGGTGGCGCCCCCTATGGGGCCACGAAACGCTGCACTGGGTGGGTGAAAAAGCCAAATTGGGCTTCCGGGACGCATGCGGACGCGGGCACTGGGGCCTTCGGTGGAGCTCCCTATGCGGCCACGAAGCGCTGTACTGGGTGTGCGGGACGCATGCGGACGGTAGCACTGGGACCTTCGGTGGGGCTCCCTATGGGGCCACGAAACGCTCTACTGGATGGGTGAAACGCAGGGAGGAGGGGGAGGAGGGCCACGAAGCGCTGTACTGGGTGTGCGGGACGCATGCGGACCGTAGCACTGGGACCTTCGGTGGAGCTCCCTATGGGGCCACGAAACGCTGTACTGGGCGTGCGGGACGCATGCGGGCGGTAGCACTGGGACCTTTGGTGGGGCTCCCTATGGGGCCACGAAACGCTGTACTGGGTGGGTGAAACGCAAGGAGGGGGGGGAGGAAGGCCACGAAGCGCTGTACTGGGTGTGCGGGATGCATGCGGACCGTAGCACTGGGACCTTCGGTGGGGCTCCCTATGGGGCCACGAAACGCTGTACTGGGTGGGCGAAACGCAAGGAGGAGGGGGAAGAAGGCCACGAAACGCTGTACTGGGTGTGCGGGACGCATGCGGACCGCAGCACTGGGACCTTCGGTGGAGCTCCATATGGGGCCACGAAACGCTGTACTGGGTGGGTGAAACGCATGCGGACGGTAGCACTGGGACCTTCGGTGGGGCTCCCTATGGGGCCACGAAACGCTGTACTGGTTGGGTGAAACGCAGGGAGGAGGAGGAAGAGGGCCACGAAACGCTGTACTGGGTGTGCGGGACGCATGCGGACGGTAGCACTGGGACCTTCGGTGGAGCTCCCTATGGAGCCACGAAGCGCTGCACTGGGTGTGCGGGACGCATGCAGACGGTGGAGAGGAGGAGGGGGACGAGGAGGAGAGGAGAACGCGGGGCGACGTCTCTTCAAAACGAAGACCCAACACCACAGGATGGTTGGGAACAATGCTCTTAAAACATAAGCCCGATGTGCAAAAACAAAGCAGGCAGTCTCTGCCAGACATTTTCCAAGAACATTTGGTGCAAACCACACAAGGCTCTCAAAGCATTCTTTGGTGGGCCTATAAGCAAGACGGGACGCTTCGCCACTGCTCGATTCTTCGAGCCGAAGCGACCTCAGCACGCCTGCCCGAGAGCAGCCGCCGCTCACTCCACGCAGGAGTCCTCGCCGTCGGAGTCTGCCGCCCGCGAGGGCGAGGCGGTGGGAGCTGCAGCCGCCACTGATGGTGCCTGCTGCTGCGAGCGCTGGGCGCCGGCCCTGTGGGGCTTCGACCTGTGTGGGTCCCCAGGGAGGTGCGGTGACAGACCCGCTCAGGCCATGACAAAATCTTGACTGGTGCTTTTTCGCTATCTTAGGCCTCTGGAGGTCCTCACCGGGGGGTCCACGTCATGAACAAGAACCATCACGGCGGGGGTCTGGGAACGGTGCGGTCGGTGACAGACCATGCGGTGACCTCGACTTGCCATCGCTCGGACGTCCATTCCCCGTACATTTTTCGGTTTCGCGCGTGCTGTCTTGCCAGATGATCCAGGATGCTCCTCGATGGTCCTTGCGGAGAAGTAATGCACACGTCCGAGCGTTGCCAAGTCGAAAGCTGGCAGAGACTCAACACACGGTCCGTCACCGCCCCAGACATCCTCGGAGGACGACCCGAGTCCCAGAACCGTGCGGCCGCCCAAGCCCCACTGACTCACCACACGGTGCGGTCGCCGCACAGTTTTAAAGGTCCCGAGGCGGGGGAACCCAGAAAGTACCGATACTGCTACTCCCCGTGGGCCTCTCCTTGGGTGCGTTTCGACCAGAAGTTCGGGGCGAACCTGGCGGTGGCGACGAAGCCCTCCCAGGAGGCCCAGGAAGGACAGGGGAGAACGAGGCCAGGGTATATAGCGGCATGGCATTGGGCCCCTGCTTCCTCCTCATCCGAGAGGCCTGGCCCCGCGCTGCCGCAGGTGTGCACCGGGCTGCTCCTGGTCCTTCAGGCCGCCCCCCGTCATCATCAGCGAGAAGGCGCCTATGCTCGTGGGAGGCGCGCGCCTGCGGCTCTGCGAGTGTGGCGGCGGGCCTGCGGCGCCGTGGCGCTCGGGGCGGCCGCCGCGCCTCCGCTCCGCAGCGGCCGCCGCGGGCGCCGCCTCCTGCGGCGCCTGCGCCGCACTCCGTGCCCGCCCGGCGCTCTTGGCCGGAGGCGCTGCCGCCGCAGAAGCCGGCGCCGGCGCCTCCTCCTGCGCCAGCCCTGCGGCCACGCCGCCCGTGGGCGCGGGGGCCACGGCGGCGTCGTCGGCGTCCCCCGCGTCGTCCGGGAGCAGCTCCCAGGAGCCGTCCACGACAGACATGGCCGCGTCGTCGCCCCCCAGGGCGCTGCGGAACACGGCCAGGCCCTCGCAGCCGGGGATGCCGGCCGAGGTCGCGCCGCTGGCGCCCTCCTCGTCGGCCTCCGCGGCCTCGGCGGAGGAGGCCCCCGGCGGCCCCACCGCGGCCTCGCCGGCAGCCGCCGCCCCAAGTGCCGGCAGGCCCTCTCCTCGCTCCGACGCCACCGCGGGCGGCGGCGAGGACCTGGGCCTGGATGGCTGCTGGCGCTGCGGCTGCTGCCGCTCTGGCCGTCCCAGCGGCGACGACGGCGTCCCGGGCACCTCGCGCCGCGGTGGCCCGCCCGGCGCCCGGCGGCCGCCGGTGCCGCCCCGAGGGGCGGGCTGCAGCGAACCGGCGCGCGCAGGACTGCGGCAGGCCTCCGCGGGCACGGTCGCGGGCGCGGGCGCGGCGCTGGTGTAGCGGCGGCGCGACACGGCCCTCGCGGGCAGCGCCGTCGCCGTCGCGGGCGTGGTGCCCGCGGCCGGCTCCGAGGACTTGGCGTTGTTCTTCGGCGCCATGGCGATGGGCCAGCGCATCTGGCCCACCGTTTGATCGTCCGGGTGGCTGCGCAAGTGCACCTCGAGCGGGGGCACGCCAGCGGCCACTGCCATGTCCTGGGCCTGCTCCCCCATCTGCGAGAGGAAGTCCCCACACGTGAGGAAGCAGGGGCCCTCGTCCAGGCTGAGCTCCGCCGCCGTGCGCATCGTCGCAGTGGCGGGCAGTCCAAGCTGCGGCCCAGCGACGGCCGACGACGCAGCGGCGGTCCCAGGGGCACCGAGGGCGAGGAAGGCCACCCGCAGCTGTTTCGCCCGGAGCACCCCGTCGCTGTCTTCAGCGTCAAGCAGGCGCAGGCCGCGGGCCGAGTCGGCCATGCAGACCACCGCGACCCGGCTGGCCAGGCGCCCCAAAAAGTAAGCCCCGATCAGCGGGGAGGAGCCGCCCGCCTCGCACAGGGCGCCGAGGCCTTCAAGGTGCGTGGCACTGCGGGGTGACCCAAAGGGGGGGTGAAGAAAAAGCCCCCAAAGGGGCTCCTTAGGGCCCCTTTTGGGCACCAGCTGGCTCCAAAAGGGGCCCTAGAAAGGGCCCCTGTGGGGCCCCCTTCCCAGAGATCCCGATGTCGTGATGTCTCAATACGGGGTCCCCGGAAGCCTCGACCCATGCCCCAGGACCGGCTTTTCTTCCTGAGTCGTTCTTTGACGGTCCCGGGGCCCTGCGAGCGCCGCCGGAGGCCGAAAATCGAGCAAAACCTCCGTCTTGACTTTTGTCAATGCCCTGGAGGTCTGGGTTCTTCACCCCCCATGTGGGCCACCCCCCACCCCAGACCCCCGACGTCATGAATTTTTCATGACGTCGACCCCCAGCGGTCTGGACCCTTTCCCCGGGACCGGTTCTTCGTCCTGAGTCGTTTTTTGACGGCCCCGAGGGCCGGTAAGGGCCCCCAAAGGCCAAAAATAATGAAAAACCTCCCGTCGTGATTTTTTCATAACTCGAGGGGGTCTGGGACTGCCGCCCGCCCGAGGCCTGCCAGGTGCAGCACGCAGGTGTCCCCCGGCTCGCAGCGGTCGCCGAGCGCCTCCGCGGCCTCCCGCAGCGCCTCGGCCCCGGGCGGTGCGGGGCCAGCCTCGCCCCCGCCCCACTGGAGCCCGGGCGCGGCGTGCAGCGCGAGCACCGTGAGGTCCTCGATGCCGCACCGCCGGCACCACAGCTCCACGCGCCCGGCGCTCTCCTGATGGGCCTGCTTTCCACCACCACCACCAGAAGCTGGAGGGGGGGAGGAGGAGGAGGAGGAGGAGGAGGAGGAGGAGGGAGGAGGAGGAGGGAGGAGTAGGAGGAGGAGGAGGAGGAGGAGGAGGAGGAGGAGGAGGCGGCGGAGGAGGAGGAGGAGGAGGAGGAGAGGAGGAGGAGGAGGACCGAGGAGGAGGAGGCGGGACCCCCTCCCCCTCCAGCTTCGAAGTGGGGGGGGTGGGGGTGGACCACGGGCCCCCCTCGAGTCTCCGCCGACGCCCGCCGGCCCGGCTCGTCCGCGCTGACGCTCGCGATGAGCACGCGCACCCGGCCAGAGCACCAAGCCGGCTCCGGCGCCGCCGGCACGGGCAGGCGCGCCGGCGCGGCGCGGGCGCCCGGGGCAGCGGGAGGCGTCGCGGGAGCGCGCGTCGCCTGCGGCGCCGGGGGCGGGGCCGCCGGGTGCGCCGCGGCGTCGGGGCCGCCCAGCGGGCGGGCGGCATCTGGAGGCAGAGGAGCAACAGATCTAGAGGAGGAGGAGGAGGAGGAGGAGGAGGAGGAGGAGGAGGAGTCCTAGCCCCGTCCGAAAGAGGCAGGAGGGGTCGGGCAGGCAGGAGGGGCGGGATCCGATGTCGTGATTTTTGTCCACGCGGGGTCCCCGGAAGCCTCGAGACCCATGCCCCAGGACCGGCTTCTCGTCCTGCATGCAAGTCGTCCTGGGTCGATCCCGGGGCCCGGCGAGGGCCGCGGGAGGCCGAAGATCGAGCAAAACCTCCGTCTTGATTTTTTTGTCAATGCGTGATGGAGGTCAGGGTAACCAACAGATGCCGATCCCGCTACTCCCCAGACATCGGGCACCTCGGAAAATCTAGACGCAAATTCGTCATAATTATAAGTGTCGGCCTCTCGGGGCCCCTATATACCGGGCCTCGGAACAGCCAGAAAACGACTCGGGATGAGAAACCGGGTCCTGGGGAAGTGGTCGAGAGTCGGGGACCCGTGTCTCAAAAAAATCGAGACGCCGGGTGCCTGGGTCCCCGAACCTAATTTCGGGCCGGACGTAAGGGGGATTGAAGGGAAAGGGAGGGGTACGAAATCTGCTGCATGCAGCTGGTTTCGGCCCCACCGAGGCGCCCATTCCTCGATACATAGCCGCCTCCAGCGCCGGGAAGCGCTGGGGTGATCAGCTACGTGAGCTGATTCTCAGGCCCCCCCTTTGCTATCCCCCCCTCTTGCATATGCGATGTTCTGAGACCTCTATGCGCGGTCTCTGAAGTTCCAATCTTTTCCCTGGGACCGGCTTCTCGTCCTGAGCAACTCTTTGACGGTACTATATACCCAGACCCCCGACGCCATGAATGTTTGACAACGTTGACCCCCCGAGGTCCGGACCCCTTCCCCAGGACCGGGCTTTCGCCCCGAGTCGTTTCTGTCACGGTCCCGAGGGCGGGTAAGGGCCCCAAGATGCCGAACATCGAAATTCAAATCGAAAAAAAAAAATCGAAACATCGAACATCGAAACACATCGGAATCTCGGGAGCGGCAAAGAGGGGGGTGTCCAAGAGGGGGGGCAAGAGGGGGGGGTGCAAATCATGACCGGCGGCATGTGCGCGGCCCAGAGGGGGGGCCAGGGACGTAATGAACTAAGAAGGGGCGCCATGAAATCTGGAGAGATCTCGTGGCCCGCGCCATGATATCCACCCCCCCCGTAGTCATCACCCCCCCTCTTTTCCGCCCCCGAGAATCGATTGTCTCATAGCTCGCGGGGCTCTGGGTATAATTAGCGAGGGCCCCGTGCTCGCCGTCGCTCGGACGTCCGATCCCCGTGCACCGTGCGGCTCCGCGTGCGCGCACGTGCTCTCGCGAGGGGTCCCAAAAGCCAGACCCCCTCGAGTTATGGGGAAAAAATCACGACGGGAGGTTTTTCATTATTTTGGGCCTCTGGGGGCCCTTACCGGCCCTCGGGACCGTCAAAAAACGACTCGGGACGAGAAACCGGTCCCAGGGAATGGGTCCAGACCGCTGGGGGGCGACGTCATGAAAAAACTATGACGTCGGGGGTCTGTGAAGAGGCTCCCCGATTGGGAGAGGCAGCGGACACGCCCGAGCGGTGCCGAGCCCGAGGCCGAAGACACTGCGAAGAGCCTCCGTCCAGATGTCTGCCTGCGGCGCGAGCAGGTCTGCGCTCCCAGACCCCCTTTATGGCGTCAGGGTTCTTCATCGAGGTCTCGACCCCTTCCCCAGGACCGGTTCTGCCCCCCGAGTCGACGGCCCTCGGGGCCGTCTGAGAACGATCGTTCTTGGACGGCCGCGAGGGCCGGTAAGGGCTCAAGGCCCCCATGGACAAAGGCCGAAAATCGTGCAGAGCTTCCCGTCGCGACTTTGTTTCATGACCCGAGGGGGTCTGGGTTCTGCTTGCGGCGCGAGCAGCCCAGAGATCCGATGTCGTACTTTTTTCAATACAGGGCCCATGGCAATCTCGACACCCTGAGTCGTCCTGAAGCGTTTTTTTGTTGGCCCAGGGGCCCGGCGAGGGCCGCGAGAGGCCGAAGATCGAAAAAGGAAAGAAAAAACACCGTCTTGGTGTTGCCAATGCCCCAGACCCCCGACGTCATGCATTTTTCATGACGTCGACCCTCAGCGGTCTGGACCCAGTCCCCAGGGCCGGTTCTTCGTCCTGAGCCGTTTTTTCCGATGGTCCCGAGGGCCGGTAAGGGCCCCCAGAGGCCCAAAAGAGTGAAAAACCGCCCGTCGCGATTTCTTCATAACTCCAGGGTCTGGGGCGCTGGGGGGTCTGGGAGGTCTGCGCTTTTCCTCCTCCGAGCACACCTCGCCTGGAGCGGCGGCCACGGCCGCGGCGCAGGCCGCCGCGAGCGCCGCGGCCGCCGAGCGGCGCGGGAGCGGGCCGCTGGCCGCGGCGCCCTGCGCGGGGGCCTCCCAGGAGGAGGAGGAGGAGGAGGAGGAGGAGGAGGAGGAGGAGGAGGAGGCGGAGGAGGCGGAGGAGGCGGAGGAGCAGGGCCGGTCGCGGCCACGTCGGCCCGGGCACGAGCCATGCCCAGAGGTGGGGGGCCCAAAAAGATGCACCACCACCACCTTCCTCCCCTCCTCCCTCTGGCTGGAAAAAAAAAAAGAGAGAGGAGGAATCGACGTGGTGGTGGTGGTGGTGGTGGTGGTGGTGGTGGTGGTGGTGGTGGTGGTGGTGGTGGTGGTGGTGGTGGTGGTGGTGGTGGTGGTGGTGTATATTCTTTGGGCCCCCAAGAGGTCTGAGGCCCCGGAGATGGATCCGGCGCACGGAAGACATCAAGGCGGAGGTCCTCCCCGAGCCTCGGCCTCTACACGTGTAGCGGCCACAGGGCATGGCCCCGGGAGTGTCCACAGAAACGGCTCAGGATGAAAGTGGGTCCTGGGTGAATGGGTCGAGACTTCCGGGGGCCCCGCATGGAAAAAATCACGACATCGGGAACTCTGGGGATCTGGTCTTGTTCCTCCCGTGGCCGTCCCCAGACTTCGGCCTCCTTGGCCCGTGATCGGGCCCGCGGGGACCATCCAAGAAGGGATCCGGGCCGAGACAGCCGCCCCACCTTCGGGGAGGGGTCGGGACCTCTGGGGCCCCAGACCCCCCTCGGGTCATGAACAAATCACGACGGAGAGTCTTTCGCCATCCCAGACCCCCTCGCGCCGTGAAAAAATCACGACGGGAAGTTTTTCGCTATTTTCGGCCTCTGGGGGCCCCTACCGGGCCTCGGGAGCGTCAAAAAACGACTCAGGATGCAAAGCCGGTCATGGGGAAAGGGTCGGGACCTCTGGGGGTCGACGTAATGAAAAAATCATGACGTCGGGGGTCTGAGATTTTTGCGGCTTCTGGGGGCCCTCACTGGGCCTCGGGACCGTCAAACAACGACTCGGGATGCAAAGCCGGTCCCGGGGAATGGGTCCAGACCTGTGGGGGTCGACGTCATGAAGAAGTCTTGACGTCGGGACCACTGGGGCCGCGGGTTGCAAAAATCACATCGGCGGAGGCCTGGGAACCACTCCAGCCCTTTCACAAACCGCTTCGGACGGATTGCAGCCACATGGACCCAGACTCCCGACGTCATGGTTTTTCCATGACGTCGACCCCCAGCGGTCTGGACCCCTTCCCCGGGGTCGGTTATGCATCCCGAGCCGTTTTTGTTGACGGCCCCGAGGGCTGGTGAGGGCCCCTGGAGGCCCAAAGTGGCGAACGACTCCCCGTCGTGATTTTTTCATGACCCGCGGGGTCCTGGGGAGACGGACTGATCGCAACTGGCCCCGCGGGCGTTGGCAGAACTGGGTTTAGTGGGACCTGGTTTAGTGATGTGTACTCGGGGACGCCCCCCCCGCCCCGTTCCACAAACCGGAACTGCCGTCACCTGAAAAAATCAAAAGCTACGGCAGACCTGGTTCACTGATTCTGGCCAAATTAGAAGCTCTGGGGCCCTACTACTCACCGGGTCCCCTTACCTGGGGTCCCAGACACCCGGCGTCTCGACTTTTTCGAGACACCGGCCCCCGACCTGAGCCTGTTTTTCTTTAGATTCGGGCAAGTGTACTTGCATGAACGGGGGGGGGGGGGGG